TTAAGTATTTTAATTATTTAAATTATTTAAATTATTTGAACTGGAAAAGGGTGGTTTGCCAATTCAAATAATTTAAATTGATTAAATTATTTAAATTATTTAAATGATTTAAATTATTTAGATTATTTAAATTATTTAAATTATTTAATTTATTTGAATTGGAAGAGGGAGGTTTGCCAATTCAAATGATTTCAATTAATTAAAATATTTAAATTATTTAAATTATTTAAATTATTTGAATTGGAAAAGGGTGGTTTGCCAATTCAAATAATTTAAATTAATTAAAATATTGAAATTATTTAAATTATTTAAATTATTTAAATTAGTTAAATTAGTTGAATTGGAAAAGGAGGGTTGGCCAATTCAACTAAATTTAAATTAATTAAAATATTTAATGACCCCATTTAAATAATATGCATAATTTAAAAGTAATTTACTGCTTTGAATCAGTATAGATAAGTTAATTAATTTGGAATTTTTACATTGGCAAACCCACTTTTCGAATTCAATTAGCTCAAATAATGTAAATAAAATTGAATCATTTAAGTATTTTTCTCATATTTGAATTATTTGAACTAGTGAAATGGTGGCCAGGTGCCGCTGGAGCTGCCCGATTCGAATTAATGTAACTGGAGCATTCAGACCCTATGTTGTACAATCTTTTTATGCATTTCAGCACACCAGTTCATCGGTTTCGGTCCGAGTACAAACAGCAACGCAGCTTGCAAGGTCCCGGACATCCTCTAGATCGCTCAAGCAAGTCGGGGGATAGGAATCGATAAATCCCAGTTGCGCTCACACAATTGCAGGAATTGGAACAAACAGATCTTCGTTAGGCTTCAGTACTTGGAGGGATAATAATACATAGATCTTAGTTAGGCTTCCAATAGCAAGATTGTAGTTATACTCAAGTACTTGGCGGGGTAGGAATATGTGCATCTTAGTTGGGCTCCAGTAAATAGAGGGATAGGAATAGGTAGGTAGAACTTGTAAGTTTAGGCACCATTGTGTTCAAGCACACAAATCATTGCAGCAACTCAGTTCATGAACTTCAGTGGTTCGAATACAAACAGCACCGTGTAGCGTGCGAGCTATATTTTCAAGTCCCCATTTGCCAATTTCAATATCTTCAATAAGTCAATTAATTTACTTTACTTTTGCAATAGATAGATCTTAGTTAGGCTCGATAGGAATAGGTAGATCTTAGCTAGGCTTCCTATTTAAATAATATAACTGGTGAATTCAGACCCTATGTTGTCCAATCATTATATACATTTCAGCACACCAGTTCATCGGTTTCGGTCCGAGTACAAACAGCAACGCAGCTTGCAAGGTCCCGGACATCCTCTAGATCGCTCAAGCAAGTCGGGGGATAGGAATCGATAAATCCCAGTTGCGCTCACACAATTGCAGGAGTGGGAGCAGACAGATCTTAGCTAGGCTCGAGTACTTGGAGGGATAGTAATAGATAGATCTTAGTTGTAGCTATACCCAAGTACTTGGCGGGGTAGGAATATGTGCGTCTTAGTTAGGCTCCAGTAAATACAGGGATAGGAATAGGTAGGTCTTAATTCGGCTTCCCACCCTGGTCAGTCGAACTTGTAAGTTCAGACCCCATGGTGTTCAAGCATACGAATCATTCCAGCAACTCAGTTCATGAACTTCAGTGGTTCGAATACAAGCAGCAACGGGCAGCTTGCGAGGTCCCGGACATCCTCTAGATTTCTCAAGGAACTAGAGGGATATGAAGAGATATCATTCACTGGTTTGTGGGTCTGTCCTGACATGCAGTTTTGTCTTCTTCCGTGTTCGATGGATGTCGATGTTGTTTCCAATCGCAGGAGGGGTTTTTGGCGCAATGTGTGTCGAATCCCTTTCATATTTCTTTAGGAACCTGTTCCAGGGAAGAGAATGATGTCATAGAATGGAAAGTCGTTCCGTTGGTTGGCTCTTCTCTGAAAAGATTTTGGGCTCTGGACTTAGAGCGCTCAGCGGGGCAGCCATGTCCGTGATTCCCCCACGGCCACGGATCGTGCAGCCTCGGGTTGCGGGGGCGCACATCGTGCAGCCTCGTGGGGTTGCGTGGGCGCCGCTCCCTCCAAGTGGCCTGGTATGGAAGCTCCTAAATCAAGGCAGCCTCAGCCTTGTGGTTCCCAAGAAACGCACGAAACATATCGGGCGTCTATGACAAGCCGTGTGCAAAAATAGTGTTATCTGTTAGTTGGGAATTTCAGAGGCTATTTCCGAGAGGTGCCTGGATTTCCATACGAATCGTCAGTTCTTGTTTTTTTCCAGGCATGAGGCATGGTGTGCCCCAGGTGCAAGGACCGATAGGGAGTCACAGAGACTTAGTGAGTTCCTACCTTGTTTTGCACGTAATGAAACCCCCCCTGTTTGAGATACGTTTGTGGGGAACACCAGGCGGTTTCAACCTAGAATGCGCAACCTAACTGCGCCCTTTCTGGTTTGCTGTCGTGGTGACTTTGACACACAGCGTTGTGTCAAGACGGTTGGATTGCATGCCCGCGAAATGTGAGCCATGACAGTGCGAACTAAGAACACAGATCGAGCCACCCGTACTTCCAGCCGCAGCCGCGGCCTATTCTACGCTCGGCTTCGGCGCAGAGTGTGGCCACGCAGGTCGAGCGAGCGCACGCGAGTCCCATGGAGCAGGTGCTGTCGCCGGAGCCTGTGGAGCCGACGATGAGGCCTGCGCTGTCACCAACTATGCCACTGGAGTTGGCTCGAGCTTTGGGGCCAGATTGGCTGGCTGTGCAGTCACGCATTTTGGATGCAGCTGCATTCTGTTTTCCTTACTTTCAAGTTTGCAAGGATTGGATGTCAGGTGAAAGTTTCCGTTGAGGGTGCTGAATAGACAGGCCTTTCCTCTTCTCTTTTGGCACATTGCCTTTTTTTCCGGTGTAGTTTACCATTACCAATAGCCTTTTGTGTGTGCTCGTGCCGACTATCCAAGGTTCCGACCAGAACTTCATCTACCTTTGGAACTTTCGCACCAAGCAATGTGCCTGGCTGCCACATGCAAAGTGAATCGGCCCACTTCTGTATAGTTGCCCTTTTGGGCTTGCACGAGGCTCATGGCTTGCGCGCAGTGTAAGAAGATAATGCACATATGACTTTGCAGGCAGACTGCGTGCAAGCGCGAGAGCTGAACCACACGCACAGAAGAACATTTCTTCAGACCTAGATATGAGCACAGTCACATGTATATGTGCGCGTGTATAGAGATTTGTGTATCTTGTCATTGTTTATAATGTAACCTCTGTGGCCTTATTGGGGGTAAGGGCTGAGTACCAAAGCGCACTTGGTGACACGGTTTCCAGAAACAACAGTGTCAACCATCAGGTCGGTTTCCACAAACAACAGCGCCAACCATGAGGTCGATCAGATTCTCTTTGAGAAACAGATCCAGGACCATCAGAGACTGCTGCCACAGTGGAGTATCTTCTCATCAAGGATTAGGTGCCCACCGACGCGGGACACTTGTGGTAGCGGAGCAGGTTTTTCCAACGAGAATCATCACGATGTCATCAGATGAAGAAGGAAGCTTTTAGCAGTGCAGGTCGACCTGTCAGCAGTACTGAAGCGACACGTAAATTTAATTACGATGGAAAAGTCAGAGCCGACTCACGGGCGATGAGCGGAAGTTTCTGCGCTATTCGGGATGAAGTGTACGCGCACGCTACACATGCAATGTAAACGGGCCCCCGGGGCTGCTTGTGTACGGCGCTGACACTTAGCAGTTGCGATTGTTTCAGGCGTTGTGTGTGCACGGCGGCCAGATTGAATGCGGAGATACTGTAGCGCGTGTGAGGACACAGCTTGGCTCTTGACGGGCCTTCTCGCAGCCGTGTAAGCTTTCAAGCTGTCCTGTTTCAGCTCGACTTCCGCAATCTTGCCAAGTGTGATGTCTTTGACTTGGAGCGGTCGCGGACGCACCCAGTGGGCAGATGTGCAGGACGACTATCAGTGTCAGCAGCTAAGGCGCACCTTTCATCACAACCTCAATTGGTGCCCCGTATACTTAGGCACTTGCCTCGAAGACTTCAGTGCTATGAGCATTGCTCTGGAGACCAGGAAAAGCGCAAATGGCAGGCAGCTTAGTGGGCATGCGTCTAAGAAGTTCAGAGAGTGCCAGCTACGCAGCATGTGCAGCAAGCGAATGACACGGGCCATGTCGGAGCTCAGTGTTAAAAATGTTCTGTGGACAGTCTTGCCGGCTATGATGGACATGTCTGCAAGTCTGGGGTGGTGACTGTCCTTTCGAACTAAGGCGAGGAGGGGTCATTGCCGGAGAGTGTGTCCGAGATGGAGGTGCATGTTGACGGTGAGCCGGGCGGCCGCTGTCTGGGACGTAAGTGCAGGGGAAACATATCTGTCGGCTTGGCGGCTGCTTCCTAAGGTGAGATGGAGTCGCTTGAGGGCCGGGACTGTGACCACAACTGTCGGCTCTCAAGTGTCGGCTGCGAGTGCTTTCCCAATCGTAAGGCACGTAGGCAGGACCGGCTGCCTGCTGAGGTGAGAAGGAGTTCTTGGACTCACCGGATGGAGACGCCTCCGATCTTGAAAATCTTGAGGGCTGTGGGAGTCTCGCCCATCGGGCGTGCTGTTGATCAACCGTGCAGACTGCCAAGGCAACTTGGATCCGCCCCAGGATGGCAAGTATAGCCCTGTGCGCTTGGAGCCTGGCGTAGGACTGGGCAATTTATTGATTTAGACAATCTTCAGATCTGCTTGCCATCGTTGCACAGGTTCGGACATTGACGACAGTGCCTGGGCTGGGCAGAGCTACAACACAGTCATTCCGGAATTTGACGGCCTGTTTACCGTGCCTGTAGCTTGCAAGGAGCCAGCTTGAATATCGAGGATGCCTGGCTACTGCGTCGTAGCTGGATTATTGTCGCAAGCTTGCGCCGCTTACACGGATCACCTAATAAGTTAGTGCATAGACCAAGGCGACTGGTACATGCGGGAAATTTGCGAGCGGCTTCTTCACGAGCACGTCTGTGAGGTTGTGATCATGGGACGGAGTGCAGAGCTCGAGCACAGATGGTCACATAAGCATGCATTGACATTGCCGATGCACACGTGCGGCTGCCCGCTTCAGGTGACTACTTCGCACCTTGCATTCTCGAAAGGCTTGAGCGCGAGTATCAGCGCTTCGTCGAGCACTACGAGGGATGGCGCTGACACTTTGGCAAGTTCTTGCTTTTGATCTGGTGTACACATGAACTGAGCACTGTCCTCCTAGTGCTACCGTGCAACGGTGCTGGCCAGGGAAGAACTGCGGATTCGCGGCGACATTCGTGCGCCACACTTCCTGTCCAGCCCTGTATGACGGAGGCGGGCCGATAGCGAGAAGGTAGGTTGTGGAAACCTGGTTGGTCACTGTGCTTGTCTTGTCGTGTTAGGCAGCAACTGGCTGGGAGTGGAGGACCGCTGGTGTACCTGGATTGCATGAGAAGCTTTGTTACACAAAGGGTACTAGTTCAGCCCTAGGTGATGGCCTGGTCTACGGCATCATGCGTCGTGCGCTCACCACTACGCACATGACGGTGTCCGATGATGTGTCTTGGCGGAAGATTCCCCGGAGCAAGTGGTATTGCGGATCCCACGGCAGTGGCAGCGAGCCGAACAAGGATGGCAAGAAGCCGGTCTTGCCGGAGGATTATGCAGAGGTGTCTTGCGTCGCGGGGAAGGACACGCGGCTCAATTTGGTGGAGCTCACGCGCCGTCAGCGCAAGAGGCTGCGCGAGAAGTACTACTGGGATCATGTCTTGTGGACGCATAGCCGGCAGCTGCAGCGGCACCGGTTGTGGATGCGAGCGAAGGAGGACAGGGAGTTTCATGAGATCATCGAAGAGTATCAGGAGATTCTGCGTCGGGAGTACGAGCAGATGGCGCAGAAGCAGGCAGCTATCAGCGTGCCAAGGATTGCGGCCAGGCGGGAAGTTCAGCCGAAGTGTTGTCCAGCCCTCTTTTTTTTCGCCTGGACAGGCCCGACGAGGAGACCGCGCGGGATCGCAAGCAAGATGTTTGCTTGATTGATGCGTTGAGGTCGTTGGGAGTCCAGCTGTCGTATCAAGATGACGGCCCCTTCTGGGCCTTGACAGATGGCAATAAGTTTCTGCGTCCGCACGGGCCTCTTGCCAGCAGAGGGCATGCGTCTAAAGAATTATGGGACAACGTGTTCATGTAGTATGTGCACCTGAGGAAATGTTTACGAAGTGTCGACGTGAAGGACTGTGCCATGCCCGGCAAGTACGTTCTTTTCCGAGCCAAGCATTTCATGTCCCTAGAGGTGCGCGCAGATGGCACGAATATGTGGCGTACCACCTGCAAGCGTCATGTTGGCTGCGCCGATGTGAAACTACCTCTTCTGCTACGTGCGATGGAAGCCGCTTTCCAGCTGAAGGAGCTGTCCATTTCCTTTTGCGAGCAAGAGACAGATGTCTTGGGCGGTGCGAGCTCGGAGATTCCAGTAGTTGAGAAGATGCTGGAGTCCAGTGCAACGCCGAGCAGTTTGGCTGGAGAGGGCAGCGCAAGCACTGCTCTGCAGAGCCCAGCTGACTGGCTACAAGTGTGTCGCAACCGAGCGCGGGTGCTTGAGCGGAAGCGCAAGACGACTCAAGACGTGGAGGAGCACAGCTCTTCTTCTACGTGCAGCTTCGCACACTCTTGGAACTTGGCCATGCCACCAATGACTCTACAATGTTTTGGAGTCGCAGGCTCACCGGCGCAGGGCGTGCGCATACCTCTGCTGCCTTTAGATGAGGGCATCGTCGCATTGCCGGTCCATCCTACCGGCCAGGAGGTGTCCCCCGAGTTCACGTGGCTGCGCCGCTGCCACCCCCACGAACTGGATGCTGCTATTCGATTCCAGCAAGACGGGCACAAGTACTACGTGCATGATGCAGAAATGGACTGCTCTGTCACATCGCTCATTGCGAAGTTCTCTGAGGCTGGGGTGCTTCGGTGGTTGTGCGGCTTGTAGGGGTTTCGGGCAATTGCTTTCCCTGCGGATGGTAGGAGTTTGATGCAGATCGGATCATCCAGAAGATGATGGCCGGACATCGCTGGCCTCGGGAAGGATACATGAAGAATCTTCAGGATGAGTCTCTCCAGATAAGGATCGCTGCGATGCCAGGGCTGGAGGAAGTCGCACGCATTCTACAAGCCCCTCGCCACCACACAGCAGCAGGTTTCCGTCGCAGCAGGTTTCCGTCGTCCTCCGGAACACGCTCTACAAGTGCGACGAGACAGCTGCATCTCTTCTCCAGCAGCTTGTCATGACTCCTGAGGAGATCAAGGTGCATTGGAGAGAAAATGGGGAAACCGCAGCTGCAGCCGGCACGTGGGTGCACTTGCTGTGCGAGTGCGTCCTCAACGGGGGCACAGTGACGGGTGTGTCAGAGGAGATGCGAAGCTTCAATGCCTTCCTGCGCAGCACGCAGCCTCTCATTGCCTACCGCACGGAGTGGTGTATCTGGGCTTCGGCTGAGAAGATTGCAGGCTCCATTGACTTCGTTGCACAGGATGCGCAGGGCGACCTCGTTCTGTTTGACTGGAAGAGGACCAAGGGTCTGCCAGACAAGTTTGAGAATCGTTTCGCCTGCATGAAGCCTCCTCTGGGTCATCTTCCTGATGCTACTGGTGTGAAGTACCGGCTGCAGCTAAACATCTACAAGCGCATTCTGGAGATGTACTATAGTGTGCGTGTGTCCGGGATGTTCGTGGTTTGTCTGCATCCGGAACACGGTGGTCAGCCGTGGCTAGATCACGTGCCCGATATGATGGCCGAAGTGGACGCCATCATGGCCCAGCAGCGCCAGCGCCTAAAGCAGAAAGACGCGCGCGGCGGTGCCCGCCCTGCCTTGCTCTCATCGCTCCACGAGGATGTTGTCGGCTGTGTCGATTTGTTTGGCTTGAAGACAAACCTTCGAGCTGCGCGCGTTCTGTGCGGGCCTACATCTATCCGAATTGCTTCCTTTCTTGGGCAGGATCATGATGGTTTCTGGGTTGTTCCTGGCCCTGAGAAGCTTCCATGCATATGCTCAACAAGGGCTTTCTCTCTTACAGCCTCGCAGAAGGATGTGTGTGGTGGGGCGGCGGAGGAGACATCTCAAGAGTTCTTTCCAGCAGTAGGTGAGGCAGCGCCTGGGGAGGATGTCGCGGCGACAGCACGAATGTCGACAAGCCCTCGAACAGCGGCAAAATCACAGCCCCGCCCAGCAGACAGGCCGCGTGCCGAAGGGGCAGTGGCCGCGGCTTCCAACGCACCCCCTCCAATGTCACAGGAGGGCGTGAAAAAAGAGGACGACGATGGGCTTGATCTATTGGGCAATGATGCAGCAGCAGAACAGGCATGGCGGAAACTAAGGCAACGCCGCCTTATGCCAGGAGCGGCGACGTCGGATGCGGACTTTACTGGTCTGTTTCGTCAGCTCGCTGACATGAACACAGTCTTCCAGACCCATGGTCAGCCTGAACCCATTGATGCCTCCGACACTATCACGGAGATGGTGCGGCACTGGTCGGAGTACGTGCAGAGTCGCTGGGCAGAGGCTTCCGACTCGCTCATCCGCTTGTGTGTCGGCGCTCTGGCTTTCGGACGTGTGCGGCAAGCCGACATCCACTTGCGCGAGCACGCACAAATCTACTGGATTGCTGAAGGGCGTCGCAGCCTCCGATTTCACAACGGTGACTGCTATATGCGCACTGCTTCGGGAGCCTTCCAGCAGCACAAGGGAGTTCCGCCCGACAACGGCAGGGTGCAGACCTTCATGCTGCAGTTGGAGGGCGTTTACAGGCTTCTTCCGAAAACAGTAAGCCGAACCTCGCAGAGCCTGACCACTGCCGTGATGGCACTCTGGGAATCAAATGAGAAGAACGAGACCGAGTTTTTGGAGGCTTGTGTGAACGCGGCTTTGGATGCGCACACTGAGCCAGGCCGCAGAGGCTTTGGAAGGGGTGCCGAGGAGGAAGAACGTCCTGGCGAGCCAGCTGTGGCCTGGACCCTGGCCACCGCGAAGACAATCCTGGCTGTGAAGAAGCAATTGACTAGAGAGATCACCGAGGACAAGCTCCTGCACTACATGAGTGAATGGTGCGACACTCCAAAGACTCCCTGTCCTTCAGTCAGCTACGAGGATTGCTCTATCATGTACGATGACGAACTCGTGCCAGCCCGACAAGTTCTGCGAATGCAGCTCGAAGATTGCTATTTGCGCATTCCGCATGCTCTCCGCTACACCGTCCCTCCCCATATTGCTGAGCGACTGCAAAAATTCTACATGCAGACATTCTGGGGGAATTTGCCGGTGTTCAAATGCGGTCAGGCAGCGCAGGCCTTAGCAAAAAGGGGGATCAACGTGGTTCGCTTGTTCATCGGGCTCTCTAGCGGTGGTGTCGGACAGTCACTCTATTCGACGCACCTGCAAGCCATATATGCGCACAACTTTGCTTTCTTTGATCCCAACATCTGGTTTCATGATGAGGAGATGAGAAAGCAGGTCGAGCAGTTGAACGGGTGCTGTATTTTGACAGGGCAAGAGACACCCGCCACGGGAAGAAAGCTGAGGGAAGACCTCTACAAAAAGTTTGTGAGCGGGGATGGCATTGCCGGGCGGAAGCCATACGGCTTTAAGACACGGATGATCAACTGTGTCGGCTGGAAGCGGTTGGAGGCAAACCGCATGTTCCCGTTCGCCGACGTGGGAAGGAAGGACTTCAATGCCATCCTCCGCAGATCGCTGGTGTGGCGGGTGAAGGCTCGATTTGAGGACCCACAAGCGCTCGCGGCCGCCTACGAAGATATTTTCCGGGATGGTGTCTTCCCAAAAGATTCGGATCTTGCCGATTTCTTGCGCTCAGCCCCGGCCGTGGCAGCTGGCCTTCAGCTGCAGCACGCATTCGAGACTCAGTACTCCAAACAGCAATGCATCGACCTAATTGAAGATTACGTGGTGTGGGGCGGCGACTTTGGCCTCACTGAAACTACGATGCTGGAAGCGTGCGGGCTTCCTCCTCGAGACTTGCGGCACGCAACAAGCAGAGCGGCGGCCGTCATCAATGTTGAGGATGTGGAGGAAGTCAAGGGAGCCGACGAGCAGTGGCAGCAGCTTCACAACACCCTTGTTGAGCACATGCTGGACAAAAGACGACTGCAAGCTACGCGACACAGCATCCGCGATATGAAGTACAAAGACGGGCCGAATGTTTCGAAGGAGGCTATTCTGGATGGCTTGCTTCAGTTGCAGCTGGTCCGCCAGGCCACAGGGAAGACACGCGCAGAGGTGGCCTACATACCGGTCATACGCTGTCAGAAAACACTCAGCGATCTCATAGACTACAAGTCCAGAGACAGTGAAGTGAAGCTTCCCGAGGAGTACAACATTACGGCCTTCACCCAGTACATGCTTGGCCGGCCTTTCCGAAAAGAAAACGCGACAGTGCTAGCCAAGGTTCTGAAGGCGCTTGGCAACAGCAAGCGCGCTGGGCGCGGCCGTGCCACAGCCGACGCACAGCGGCAGAGGGAGGCTGTCCTTGAGAGGGCGCAAAAAATAGAGGACGCAGAGAAGAACGGAGATGACCTGCTGGATACACTGAGTGAAATCAGCGCGAAGAGACGGCGCCTCCACGTCAAGACCGAGGGTGCTAGAACAGAGGCCGAGGAAGTAGGGAGAGCTACCAGACAGTGCAGCTATCACTACAGCGGTCCCGAGAGCGTGCGAAGCAGGAAGTATGTCACTGGGGTGGGGGCGCAGAAGTTCCCTCGAAGGGCCCAAATGCATCTGCTGCGCGGCACATGGGACCTTGACATCGAGAATAGTGTGTTTGCCATGCTGCACCAATTGCTGCAGGAGCTGGGCCCCAAGCCAGCCATGCCCGCAAAAGCGGCAGCGGCGTTGGCCGACTGCGCAGAGCGGCGGCACCATGTCATCGGCGAGGTCTTGAAGATGACCAAGGATGAGGGGAAGCATCTGTTGACGTCTGTGTTGCACGGAGGTACCATCCCTCCAAGCTGCGACGGCCAGGAGTTTCTACAAAATTTACAAAGGGCATCTATCTATTGCCGCTGGGTAGCGGTCTCGCTCCTGCCTGCCGAGTACGAGGCTTTTTGCGCAGACCCTAGCAAGAAAAACCCTGAAGCATCAGCGCTTTCGCATCTGTACATGGCTTGCGAGGACGTTGTGCTCTCAGAATGGATCCGGTTTCTTTCGGCTGAAGTCACACCTACTCACCTGTCCTTGCATTTTGACGGGGTACGGGTCTCTGCCTCAGAGCACGGAGATGCAACGGCCTTAAGTGCAAAGTGTCAGGAGGCCATTGCGAGCAAGACCATTTTCAAGCTGCGGATCCGAGAAAAAAACCACGCAGCTGTCATGGCCTTGCTGCGGGGTGCTGCCACACGCCAGGGCCCTCCGCGGTTTGAGGCTGGCACCACATTGACTACATCAGGCAACTGTATCCCTCACGCACTCGCGTGCCTGGACTCTTTGTCAGAGGAGGGCAAGAGCAAATTGGATGCCACCACAGAGCAGATGAATGTGTACATGGAGCAGCGGGGCTGTCGCACCTACCAGCAATGCTCGGCGGCCTTTGGGTGTCTTCTGCATCCGGTTGTGTTCATCGACGCCTTGCCGGTCGGAAAATTTCTTCTGCATGCTGAGAACGATGGCAGTCCGCATTGTGTGGCAGTGCATAGGCGTGAGGTCCGAGGAGCCTTCGAAGTGACCGTGTGGGACACTGACTGCGCACTTCATTTGTCAGACTCTGCTTTCCGGCGATGCCTTTCCGATGGAGTGGATAGCAAGACCTGCGTCTTTTATTTGCTGGAGCAGCCTGCGGACGGTCTTTTCTTGGCCGTTTCTGAAGCAGAAGTCTCTCAGCTCCTGGACATGGCTGCGGGCGCCGTGGGAGAAGTGGATTTTTCGATGGATGTCGACCGGATGGGGTTGGGGCAAGATGCTGGCGAGGAGACGGGCGTTGATTGGCTGGATGCTGACGGTGTGGTGACGGTGGACGCGGTGCTTTTGCAAGAATTGCGCCAAGAGGTGCTGACATGCATCGCCCGGGCAGGGCGCGGGTCCCTGAAATGCGTGGGCGGAATGTACCGCTGCCCGGCTTGCCCCTTTCGAGCTTTCCGCGATTGCTCGCGCGTGGCTCAGCACCTCCGACGCTACCACACCGAGAAGCAGCGGTTCTGCTGTTCTGGAACAAAGCAGTTGCGGGTGCTGCTCTCCATCCACGACACGGACATGCTGGCTGAGAGCCGTGGTGGCCGGTACCTGGAAAGAAGCGCGAAGGTGATCCGCGAGCTTGTGAAGCCTGGGCTTCCCATCAAGAACAACAACATTGATCGAGGCTTCCGATTGGTGCTCGATGCCGGAGGCCCGACACTCATGAACGTGGCCGTCCTAGCCAAGGGCACTATCGCTCGCAGGGTCGGCAAGATCTGGTACACCCGCGCCTTCGCAGAGCGCCTCTTCCAGGAGATCTTGCTGCAGCACGCCAAGGCTGGACCGGAGTAGCAACTAGATCGATGTTAATTTCGCACGAACTATATCCCACGCATCCCTGAGGTGAAGACAGTCTGGCCACGTCTCATGCTTGATTCAGTCAGCGCTGGTAACGTGCTGACCAACTTGCTGCCCGGCCACACTGCGACTTGGTGGCCGTTGGTGGAAGATATCCTCCGATCGCCTGCGTGTGTCGCCTTGAAGCAGAACCTTCTTAGCACTGCGAATAAGCACGGCGAGTATGAGTATTTATCTATAGATGGCACATTCCGAGCTTGCATGATGCTGATGGGCCAAGCTTCCTTCAACGCACCAGCCGCTGAACGAGCAGCGCAGCCATTCACAGACGAAGATAGCTTCCGGCGTGTCATCACTATCCGGGGCAGGAGCGGGGCAGTGCTGGGCTTGGCGCCTGCCATCGGAGAACGCGCAGAGCATATTGTTTCGTGTGTCGTGGATGCTCTTCCAGCAGAAGCCCTGCAGCGTGTCAAGTATGTTGCGTCCGACTGCCCCTCTGCGAAGCTGATGGGGCAGCTCCAAGCAGTTCTACCAAATCTTCAGGCGCTGGTGCTTGATGGAACGCACGCCGCCATGCACTACGAGCAAGCTACCAACGGCCGGAAGACAGCTGGGTCAGCACTTCTGCGGAAATTCTTGGCCAAGTTCTGCCCGAGGGACAACGCGCTGGCTGTTAACATTTGGGGGGCGCCCTACGACGGCTCGCTGCCGGCGCGGCTAAGTGCCCCGGAGAACGCCCTACGGGAGCACATCATCAAGGGCACGCTG